CCTCCCTCCTTCCTCCTTCCTCCTTCCTCCTTCCTCCTCCCTCCTTCGTCCCTCCTCCTTCCTCCGTCTTCCTTCCTCCGTCCTCCTTCCTCCTTCCTCCTTCCTCCCTCGTTCCTACTTCGTCCTTCCTCCTTCCTCCTTCCTCTTTCCTCCTTCCTCCTTCATCCTTTCCCCTTCCTCCTTCCTCCTTCCTCCGTTATCCTTCCTCCTTCCTCCTTCCTCCGTCCTCCGTCCTCCGTCCTCCGTCCTTCGTCCTCCGTCCTACGTCCTCCGTCCTCCGTCCTCCGTCCTCCTCCTCGTCCTCCTCCTCCTCCTCCTCCTCCTCCTCCTCCATTCCTCTTCCTTCGAAATAACTTATCCCTGTCTTACCCCGAAGCCAGTTGTTAGGGCGGGCCGGGCGCTTGGCCTGAGACTTCCAAACCATTTAAGACTCTGAAGCTTAAAAATAGCAACAACTCCACAGATGGAGGGCGGGTGGTTTTCAGAATGTGGCTCTCGCTGTAGCGCCGCGCACATTAGTTTACACATTTGCACAAAAGTTTCACTGGTTGAGGGCGGGTGGCTTTCAAAATGTGGCTCTCGCCGTAGCGCCGAGCACATGCGTCTTCAAAAATTGCAAAAGTTTCACGGATTGAGGGCGGGAGGTTGCTCAAAATGTTGCTATCGCCTAAGCGCCGCCCAAATTTGGCAAAAATCTGCAAGAGCTTCACGGTGTGAGGGCGGGTGGTTTTCAAAATGTTGCTCTAGCCTTGGCGCCGCGCACAATTCGTTATAATACATGCAAGACTTTGAAGGAGTCTCATAATCAACGTACCAGCAATGGTGTTATTTTAAGGATTCATAATTATGCGGGTGCAACAGTTATGTTAACTCGCGGAGTTGAAGTCCCAAAAACGGCGTTCTGGCACGACTCAGGATCGTCAGGACGCAACAGTCATGTTGATCCGTGGCGTGGAAAACCCGAGAACAATGTTTTGGCATGCTTCAAGGTCTTCAAACGGTTGTCTTCCAACGAGGCAGTTCCCTCAATAGAAATGAACCGTTGCAACGGCCTATGAAGAGGGAGCTTGGAGGGAGGGTTAATTCAAATATCGTTGATGACTCCAAGGTTTACACTGGTCCTCCTCCTCCTCCTCCTCCTCCTCCTCCTCCTCCTCTTCCTCTTCCTCCTCCTCCTTCTCCTCCTCCCCCTCCCCTTCTCATCCTCCTCCTCCGCCCCCCTCTCCTACCTATGGCAGTGGTGATGGAAAACCGGTTCATCAAGGAAGCCCCTTGCCTTCTTCGACGGCCGCCCCGCTCATGGCACCCCCTTCTGCACGCCGCCGACTCCCTCTGTATGACCTCCCAGGGGAGGCGCCAACCCGGGCCAGCGCTAACCCTGGTCAGCCGTGGCTATGCCCCGGAGGACGGGGGGGGTCGGCTCCACATGGCCGACGGTCAAAAACGGGCCTCACGCGAGGTGGCACAGCGCCCTCACGCGGCGGCTTACGCGGGCCGCCAGCGCGGCACGCTACGTTGGAGACGAGGGCGCTTACGCGCGAGCCCACGCGGGCAGCTTGTGCGCCAATGTCGGCGCAGACGACCCCGTTTTCTGCGTCGCTCACATGGCTCCCGAACCCAGGCCTTCCAGGGGGGATCGGAGGGGATCTGCTGACCCCCTGTGAGCGGTGACCACCGGCGTCCAACAGTTGGCCTGCGAGCCACAACTCAAGCCTCGGGCGGCCGTTTGGGAAGATGCCATCCCAGAGCGCTCTCGACCAGGCGCGGCTAGTGGAAGCAACCCTGGGTCTTGGAAACCTCCGAAAACTGCAGACAACCTTCGAATATCGCTTGACCATAGAACCCCGACCTTCGAGAACCTTCGAAAACCTTGAAAACCGTCGAGAACCTGAAAAACCCTTGCGAACATTCTAGAATCCCGTACGGAACCTTAGAAAACCTTTCAAACCTCCTGCTCGGCGCACCCCGCCAGCCGCGGGCGCGGCCTGGCGCACAGCACCCCGACTCCGGGGACGCTGTCGAAGAGCCACCCGCGGCCGTCCGCTAGC